GTGTGTGTGTGTGTGTGTGTGTGTGTGTGTGTGTGTGTGTGTGTGTGTGTGTGTGTGTGTGTGTGTGTGTGTGTGTGGAGTAATGCCTCTTTTACACCAAAAATTAGCTTGTGTACGTGGATAATATAAGTGCAGTGAAACCTGCTAAATACCCTTATTATTATCTTTTTTTTTCTCTCCAGTTCACTTTACAGACAAAAGACAGATGTTAGTGAGTTTTTTAACCAGTGTTAAAGGAGTTTTATATAATTGTATACACACAGTTATAAGTTAACCATGTCCAAATGCACTGTGACTTTGTTGTCACTTCTATGCCATTGGGATAGTTACAGCTTTGACCAAAGGCTTGTTTGGTTTGTTTATCCATCCATCTCTCCATCCCTACATCCATCCATCCATCCATCCATCTCTCCGTCCCTACATCCATCCATCCATCATCCATCTGTCTGTCCCTACATCTATCCATCCATCCATCTCTCTGTCTCTACATCCATCCATCTATCGCTCTGTCCCTACAACCTCCATTGTCCATCTCTCTGTCCCTACATCCATCCATCCATCTATCAGTCCATCTCTCTGTCCCTACATCTATCCATCATCCATCTCTCCATCCATCCATCCATCATCCATCTGTCCCTACATCCATCCATCCTTCCACCTCTCCATCCATCCATCCATCTCTCCATCCCTACATCATCCATCTCTCCATCCGTACCTCCATCCATCCATCTCTCTGTCCCTTCATCCATCCATCCTTCCATCCATCTCTCCATCCCTACAGCCATCCATCGATCAATCCACTTGGACTCGAGGATGAACATATTAAAGTTTGGCGGTCAAAGGTCACTGTGACATCACAAAACACATCTTCAGCCACTAGTAATGACATTATTTCCCACCAGTGTTTAACAGGATAAGATGATGAAGTCAATAAGGTCATAGGTCATTTTCACCACATAACTCAGGAGAAAGGGGAATTGTGACCTCACCAGTGACAACTGGTGTTCTTCCACTTTGAAACTATTATGATTGTTTAGAACTCTGCTGTTGTTGAAGGCGCATGTGAGGCATCCACCTTTTATAATGTGTAGCTTCTCTGCAGCAACATCCATATTTAAAGCATTGTCTCCTATCACGGCCACAGCTTTGTGTTGAATGAACACATACAAGGAATTTGACTGTGTTTTATCTCAATGTGACAACAAAAATACACATAACACCTTGTATTCCATCAAACCACATATCTTATATGAATCTGGACAGACAAGGATGTAAACTTTAACTTTACAGGTTGGTGGAGGCTTGTAACCACGAGATGGTAATTCTAGTAAATGAATGAAAATGCTTTCGGGCTGCACAAGCGACATTAATCAAATACAAACCAACCTCTGACGCCGTTTTCAAAAAGCATGAAAGACGCCGCGTCTGTAGCTGTAACATGAAAATATACTTTGAGTGGGCCATTGTTTCGCATTAGGGTTTTGCGTTAATAGCCCTTTTCAAAGTTGTTTGCACTATCCCCTTGCAACACACTCAGGCTGTTTCCAACTTTGCCATGCTCATTATTCCCACTACAAAGGAAGTGGACAGAAAAAAAAGCTGAGGTGTGTGTGTGTGTGAGATGGATGGGTAGAAAGAGAACCCCTGCTGGTTAAAAGTAAAGTCCGATTATGCTCAAAAACAACCCGCACTCCTTTTACATAACACACAATGGGCACCCAGAACACTCACTGTACGCCTGTGGTGGTGACTCGTCCTGAGGGACCAGCTATTGTTTTTATTTGAGCTGCTTTGAGACAGATTGGGAATGACTGCGGAGTGTGTGTGTGTGTGTGTGTGTGTGTGTGTGTGTGTGTGTGTGTGTGTGTGTGTGTGTGCGTGTGTGTGTGTGTGTGTGTGTTATGGGCCATCTGGTATGCTCCCTATGGGGGCCTTCATTCTTTGTGATGGTCCCTATACACTATCGGCACCTCATCTGTTCTCTCCCATACATTCACTCAATTAGCAACAGCGGATGGAGAGAAACAAAGACAGGCAGAGCACTCAGGCAGAGTCTGAATGCACATTTTCACTCACACTCCCTTTTTTCCATCTGTCTTTTTTCTCTTTCTGTGTGCAGTTATTTCACCTTTTTTTGTGACAAGGTGGGACGTCGACCCCCTTAACTCACCCACTCCTCTCCCCTGTCCCTCCCCTCCCCTCCAACTCAGCGAAGGATGGAGAGCTGAGGAGGGAAATCATGAAGGCAGGCACGGATCATTAGCTATATTTGTCCCCCACTTCCTGCAGAAGATGATAGATCTAGCTAATTACCCCATGTTGCCAAGCCCGTCGCACGCGGCAAGCGGCCGTTGTTATAGCGGAAATCAACGTTGGGATTTTTGGCGTGTGCCGCATAGCTGATGCTATATGACTATTCATGAGCCCCGGAGTCAAAAGGAGAAGGGGAAATTTCAAATCCCATCTTGGCTGCATGTGAATGTGATTGTTCTGCAAATGATTTTTAATGATGTATGCTCACCATCCTCTCCTTCTTCTCCCCTCTGTGCAGAAAATGAGTGTGGAGGAGATGTGGTGAGCCGTTTCCGTCCAGCTGAACGTCACTCGGTCACAGTGGAAGTAGAGGTCTGGACCAAAGAGCTGTCTCAACCCCAAACCATTTCAGGTAGAGTCTGGTTCATCATGTCGTCATAACTAACTCATCAAAAGGGGAACTTTCTGTACAATTGCATTTTGCTGGTTCTGAATCAGATTAGCATGTTAAAATAGATTTTCATACAGATTTATGAATGTGATGGAATCAGTTTCATTCAACACTGCATATTGCCGCTAAATAAAATGAATTTTAAAAGGCTGCCATAGTTAAACAGTAAAAACAGAACAGACCAGTCCAGAGTCTTGTACAGGTACATTTTTGCAAACCTCCATATGGACCCTGACTCACTACACACAATTAAATCCAAGTGAAATCTGGACCCATCTGAACCTGTTAACTTATGCACCGCGACCTGACCCTACATTTAACACACATGTACATACAGTCTAGTGTCCTTGGTAAGAATTGTTGTCAACTGTCACAGCACCTGAGCTCCTCGACCTATTTGCTAACCTATCCACCATTGGCTTCTTTCGTCTTTATGTGATTCATTTTGATGATCTAGCTAGTTAGCTGCCAGCAGTGACAGCCCTGACAGGGCTTCATATAAGCTTATTAAGATGTTAAAAATACTGCACAATCATTTGAATTTATGATTCTCCTGAAAGAAAACACACTTAAGTTCTCAACCGCAGCCCACCAGTTTTTATTCATATTTTTTCCTGTACCCCTGAATTTTATAAATATATTTAAATCCTGTTACAAAGCGTTTTTGCTGGTAACCTGCAGGTACCTGACCTGGTGCAGGACTCTAGGCCATTCAGTCGATGGGTGAAGTTTTAGAGTGTAACATGTTACGTTATTAATTACCGTTAAAAACCCAGATGAAAAGTTTCCAATGCCTGCATATGTGGTAATATCGTTTATGCTCAAACATAATTATATATTTTTTTTCTATTGGCCTTTTTAATGGACAATTCACTTTGAGGAAAACATGTTTAATCACAAACGAGTACAAACTAGTTTTTAAAGGCTTCTGACTCAACTGACATCCAATAACGGTTACAAGTATTCCCCTCCCTAATGAATGCAGTTTTCAAAGATACAAGGCAATACAACTAAATCAAATCATCATTTTTTTAGAGGGCAAAAAGTGTCAAACAACCTCAGGTCCGCTCAGGCTTTATGACAATCAGGTAAGACATAAATAAACCTGAGTTTAATCCCTGCTCTCTGACCTCACTGCGGCCGCTGGTAAATTCTCGTACCGTATTCACATCACAGCTTTTCTCCCTCTTTAACGTTTTGGGGCCGGGCACAGCTGCCGTCACCCACCAAAGCCGTTTACCATACTAGTTGGGAATCGCTCGACAGATTTCTCTCTCTCGTTCTGTCTTCATCACGCTCGCTCTCTGTCTCACTCTGATCACCCCCCCCTCTCTCTCTTTCTCTCTCTTTCTCTCTCGCTCTCTCAGTGCCCACTCAGATGCTATCTCTGCAGCCCTTCACACTAATTCAGATGCACTTAGCTCCGGTTTGGCACACATGTTTACTGTCACTATGATGCATGGCGTAAATGCGTATTTGCAGTGAAATATGATATTGCCAGTGGAGTTTAGTTGGCTCCCCATTGCTACACTGTATGGAATACCAATGTGTGTGTGTGTGTGTGTGTGTGTGTGTGTG